CAAAGAGAGTGGCATATTTCAACCCTTGGATTTTGCTCTTCATTTTAGTCTGGACTCAATCAGTTTTTCCCTCATGAATGTGATCTCCCCAGGGGAGCTGCAGCACTAGACTTGCAAAACCAGCTGCTATCCCTGAACCGCCTGCCTGTGAGCTGAGGACTGATACCCTTAAACTGCGCTGCACTGTGGCACCTCACCTCCTCCAACTCCTGGATGGCCAGAAGCACTGCACAGGAACACACAGGTGACCTAATGCTCCCCACTGAGCTTGGGGAAGAAAAAAACCCACCTGCCACTTACTGATGCTCTCTCAGCACCAAAGGCAGCAGATTCTTTGCTCTTTACCCTCTCCTCTGGACACTATGCTACAAGGAAACTACCCTGCACTTCTCTCCTGCTCCCCCACTGCTGTCTACAACTTAGTTTCAAGCCAGGGAAGATGTCACATCTGTTATGCCTTTTTTTGCTGCTTGGTACCATACAAAGGATGGGTTAATCAGGCCTCTGAGCCTTTTTGTTTTCTCCTTTTTAAAGTTACCTCAAGGGAAAGTCAGCACCAGCTGCCCACCACAAAGTCTAATGACCTATTGAAGCTGCCATCAGCTCTGACTCCCACAGACCACATCTAGCATTGCTCCACTTGTCAGGACACAAAAAGAGCATAAAAGATAATTACGACAAGAATTTGCTAATTATAGAAAATTAAGACCTTCCAATAGGACAGGCACCACAGTTGTCACTGAGATAAAATGCACACAGCTCCTCACACCTTCCCAGTGCTACAGCCTTTCACACCAGCAGTAGCAAGGCTCCACCACTCTGCTGTGGCTTTCAGGTACTGCTCTGTAGGACACAGCTGATGAAACTCTAGGAGCCCAGCTGCTAGGCAAGCAGTTATTGCTCATACATAGTCTGCTCACTGTGCTTCTGCATTATTCAAAGCTCTGCCCACCTCCGGCAGTGTCAGCTAACAGGACACATCTGGGAAAAACTGCCAATTCATATGTTTTCTCTCCCCGGCTCCACTACAGAATGAGAAAACTACTGTGAGCTGTCAAGAAGCCCACCACAACTCACCCCAACAGTAAGCATTTCCAATGTCATAGAAAACAGAGCATTTGATGCTTATTTAGTCTTGCAAAGCCAATACACTTGGTCCTGGCACATCCTTCTTAAACAGCATCGTGGTCCAGTTGTCTTTACTGAGAGAAGTGGAGATAGAAGTATTAGGCCAAAACTCTCAACCAGGAGGAAAGACAGGTAAAGCAGAGATAAGTGGAGCAAAATTTCTACATTAAATATTGATAGCTTTATTACACTTTTTTCTCTAAAGGATAAAGGCAGAGCAGCACACCATTCATGTGGGTATTTTTATGAGGGTAGGACACATTTGGCTCGCTTATCTCATAGAAAGAAAAACAGAAGCACAAAAAATTATTCCTACCCCATTTCACTATAACAACATACTTTTACATAGAGTTTAGTAGCAGCAGATAAACCAGCAACAACACACTTGGCTCAACAGCTGTAACACAGGCAGGAGCAACCACTCCTGGAAACTGTTTGGAGAGATGAACAAGGAAGAGAGAAAAAGTCTCTTTCCTCCTCAGCACCTGAAAATACTGAAGGAGATTTTCAACCATCTCACAAGACAAGATCAGAGCAGTGGCCTTTGCTCACAAGGAGTAGAGCATCAAGTCCTGGCCTGTTTTTAACACTCAGAGGGGCTCCACATGAGGACCCAGAGGGAGAGAGGCAGGACACAGCACCGGCTATCAGGGGTGTGCTGTCCAGAGGAGAGTTTCCCGGCACACTGCAGTCCAGCTCTGGGCCTACACTATGCTCCACATGAAGCTGCTCAGCCTTCGCGGCATTTCAGCAGACGTCTCCGTTGGCCTTCTAAGGACAGTTTCTGCAAACCCTGGCTGGAAGAACTGGTCCTATTTAATATTCAGACTTCCACCTCGCTGCCCTTTCAGCACAATCCACCCAAAGGGTCCAACCCACCATGCAGCCAGCGCCTGCTCAACACCAGGGCTGACTTCGGCTAAAATGCTTGCAGCAGTACATGCTGGCACCCAGCACCCAGGCAGAGACTTGAGGGGCCTCATCTGTCAACAGCCCATCTGCTAAGACAGCTGTAAATATGTACCAGTCCACATTCCTCCCAGGTTTAAATCTGCTGGTTTTGCTGAAGCTGAATGGAAGATGAACTTGGTCTCTCATGCTTCAATCAGCTAGCATAACAAATTCTTTTATCACCTTTTTTCCTGACATGAGGTAAATAAGAAACGAGCCACACTGCTAGCAACAGGTAAATCATCTCTTACTAGAAACAGCTGCCACCTCACACCAGGATGAGCTGCTTCTCTTCAGCCACATAAAGAAGGTGCTGAAGGACCTCAGCTTGGGAGATTTTAGACTGTTGTTTTCCTCATCTCATTTACAAAAGGATAAGCCCATAATTAACTCAAACTTTACTGGCACTCTGATTTGCTAGAAGTCACAGACGCATTATAATAATGCTGTAAGAAATGTTCCCACTGTTGGTTTAAAAAAAAATCCCAGCACATACTTGGAGTGATATATAGTCCATCAAGCTTGCCACCAGCATCTTCTCTTATCCCCTGAAGCTGCATCATTCAAACTCTGCCTTCTCCTCCTTCTTACAGATGGGAAATAAATACAACCTGTGCCTCTGCAAACCTGTGTGAAAAGGGCATGACCTCTAAGCTATTAATTTTGCAAAGGTGCTCCACTCAGTCAGGCATGAGTCAGTATGAGTAAAGGAGGCAAAGCCTCGGTAGACTTGTTTTATGTTGGATCAGTTCTGATCTGTTGTTTGTTTTTAAATCCAAACCTTGGTTGTGTCATTTGTCAGGGTGAATTTCCCTGTGTTTGCACTAAACTATCACTGCCCTCTCCAATACCTCCCAAAATGTCCCTTCCAAGGCCCTCCTGCTTCAAGAATCCATGAGTTCCCCAGGGGCTTCTCTGCTAGATCAAAGCATGCACCAGTTCTGAAGAGCTATCTCTGCCACATGCATCTTTTCTGAGCTGGGGTCCCAGGCCTCTCCTGTTTAACGCTGTCACATAAACTCATAGAAATGCCTCCTCTGGTGGGCAAGAAGTTACAGTCCCTGAAACAGGATGTTGTTTGTCCTTCTTCATGGACAGATAGCAAGTATATCCCCCTGACACCTGCCAACAGGACTATCTGAGAGGGTAAAGGTCAGCTCAGGCCTTCTCTTCTTCCCAGTGTGGTGTCAAGGTCTCACATTTCTGCAGGCTGATTTTACTGACACTCCAGAAACAGTCCCCTGACGCCTTACACTAATCCCCTGCAGGTCACATCACCTAGACCTCGTAGTGGGACGGACTGTAGCAGAAACTAAAGCATTTGTGCATGTATGCAAAGGAATCAGTTAAATTAGGCACTGTTGAGAATTTCATAGTAAGAAGCAAATACAACAGCCTTTCACCACTGGCAAAATAGCAGGGGAAAAGTTGTTTAACTGGAGGACAACTGCTACTGTTTTCCCTTAATGCGAATTAAAATAGGGGTCAAGAACTTCTAATTTAAGTGAAGAAACAGGATGAGAAAGCCAGAAGGTAGCTTACCCACTAATAGAAACAAACTGGAGAAAAGTTTGGAGGATTCAGTCTCAAGAGGCTCTAATGGGAAGGAAAGCATCAGCCTCGCACAACAAATTCTCATTGCCTGGAGTCCTATTTATTTGAGTCTTATTTGAGAGCTGTTCTCCTCAGAGCCCAGAGCCTCAGGATCAGTGCGTGGTGTATGAGACCTGTTGAACAAGATTTAAGACTAGTGTACTGAAATAATTTTGTTATTACCTCAGTCATTAATTGGAGTCATCACAGCTGATATAAGTAAAGCAAAGTCTGCCGACGCAGCACACCTCCATGTCACGTAGACAAAATTTTATTTAGGAAAACAAGAATCCAAAACTGTGGTTCCTCTTGTCAGTTTGGGGGAACAGAGAGATATTGCAGCTACTGTCTATACCTGTACCAACCCAATTCTCAGTGGCTGGGGAGAGGTCAATAAATCTGCATAAATTCACTGTGTTCCTGAGTAACAGAAAATTATAAGCTTGATGTACACGGACCTTCTCTGGATATAGCGCAGGCCAGCAGTTCAGTGAGATTAGTTTTTATTCCTGTCTTTGCCTTTGATCTGCTGGGTAATCCAAAAGGAAGTCACTTTCTCTCTATTTTTTTCCCTCATCTGCAAAATGGGAATACTGTTTCAATTTCCTTCCCAAAGTGCAATGAGATCTACTGATGAAATACCATGCAAAAGATCTAAGTATTAATAATAGCATTTCCCTCAAAATGCCACAACCATGACTGTGTGGGTGATCAAATCAAAAAATTAAGTTGACAGTTTCCTCAAGTGCTGCATGGCAAAAAGGAAGGACAATTAATGATGCCAAACCTCAGTGTGACATCCTTCAACCAGAAAACCACCGTTCACTTTTCTCCACTATCACCTTCACCAGAACTGCTGGGAGAAACTAACAGCAATTAGGAAAATGAGCAAAGGGTTAGGGTCCAGGTATCTCTGCATCCAAGCATGGGTGGACAGGAGGGAAAAAGAAGGAGGAAGCGATACTGACCTTCTTACCAAACAAGGGTGGCACAACACACAGGAGAGAGGGCAGCAGCAGCAGCATGTGCTGTCTGCCCTGGGACAATTGTTAACTACCAGACTTAGGGCACAGCATCAAAGAGATCTTGACCCAGACAGGAACACTTTTGACCACATGCATAGACAGACACATACTTCATAAGCCCCCTGACAGAAAGTGCTTGAAGCCCCCAACAGGAAGAAATGCATGTGGTTTTCCACTGTTCAGTGCCATGGCAGCACTTTGGAAGACCAGCCTCACCAAACTAAGCACATACTGGGAGACAACCCAAGGCTCACAGAGACTCCATGGCACAGCCCCAGCCATGCACATAGCAGCCTGGGGGACTCTCTGGGGAGAAGCCGACAAGGAGAGGCAATGCGCAACTTGCACACAACATCCTGCCCAAATCCTAAAGAAAAAAAATAACATCTCACTGCCTAACAAGGCAGGCTTAATGTTTGTCTCCAGCAGTATCTGCAAAAGGGGCGCCCGGGGCCAAGTCCGGGGCCAGGTCCAGGGCCAGGGTGTGCGGCCCCATAGAGAGCGGCCCCGCAGTCCCCGGGTCCACCCTGCAAGCCACCCATGCTGCTCTCAGCAGTGCCGGCCAAGCCGAGTGATGGCCCCTGTAAAGGGGCAGCCAAGGTCAGGGCCGGGGCATGCGGCCCCGTGGACAGCAGCCCCTCAGGCCCACCCCACAAGCAGCCCATGCTGGAGCCTGTCCTGCCCGAGGAGCTGAACAGCACCGACAGCACCAAAACCCCCAAGGTGAACTGTGAGGGGTGGGAGGGGTGTCCCGTGGGCTAGGCCAGGGTGGCAGAGTGGCTCCTGCTGGCAGGCATTGCCCTCCCTTCCCCCCCGGCCGAGTTGAGCTGGGACCCGGGCCGGTGCGGCCTGCCATGGTGCAGCTGAGCCCATGCTGGAGCAGATGGATGCATGGAAGAAGGCCGTTACCCCCTGTGGAAGGCCCAGGATGGAGTGGAGTCCTTCAACAGACTTGCGGCCCATGGGGAGGAAAATCCACGCTGGAGCAGGTTATTCCCAGGTAGGACTCACGGCCCTGTGGGGGATCCACATCGGTACAGCTCACCCTACAAAGGACTGCATCCTATGAAGGACCATTGGGTTGCAGAGAGCCCCCCCTGCACCCCATAGAGAAGCGACCCTCGGGACAGTAGATATGGAAGAACTATGAGGGGTAGACCCACATTGGAGAGGTCCATCAAGGACTGTTACCCGTGGGAGGGACCCCATGGAACAGGGGAAGGACTCAGAGCTGTGGACCCCCCTATAACCCGTGGTGAGGACCGTGGTGAAGCAGGCTGTCCCCCTGCAGCCCATGGAAGAGTGACCTATGGGACAGCAGATTTGGAAGACCTATTACCTGAGGGGTGGACTTGTCTCCCTGCACTGCTGCCAGGGGAGGAGGGAGAACATGGAAGGAAGGAGGGGTGGGTGGAAAGTGTGTTTAAGACTGTTTTATTTCTCACTCTTTAGATCTTATCCTATTAGTAATAAATTTTAGTATTAACCCCATGTTGAGTCTGTTTTGCCTGTGTGACCTCTCCCAGCTCAGAGCGACTTTAGTGGGTGCCTAGAATCTGGCCAAGGTCAACCCACGACGCCACGTATTACCAAAGTTTAGCCACATTGACTTTGCAAAGAGACTTTGTAGGCCATTAAATACCAGTGTAACACTCAACATCTCTCAACATGCAGTTCCTTCCTGAGCCACAGCAATACTCAGTGAACTATAGTCTTAGGGCAGATGGCTGTGATTTTAGTAGCCTTAAGGTCCTGCATGTAACTTTGCAACCAGCAACAAAGGTTACTTACAAAGTAGATCTCCTTGGCCTAAACCTTAACTCCATGTGACAGGGCCACAACAAAACTTGTGACTTCATTGTCCAGCTGGCCTATCAATTAGCTACTGGTAACTTGTGTATCTTCCCAAATTTTCTAAAACAAGACATAGACAAATTTCCATATGAATTTGAAATTTTAAACAGAGAAAACAATTTAAACTGAAAAAATTTAAATTAAATTTAATGACTTGATAGAGTTCTCTTTATTATGCAAAAAGAAAATCCTTTAAAACCCAATTCATTTTTTGCTTCTGGCTCTTAATGATTTCTTTATTGCCTGGACATGATAAAGCAGCAGGGTCAATCATTCTTCTGCATTTTCATACCTTGAAGAACCTAATATTTATTTACATGCAAAGTCATTTCAGAGAAAAGTATTCAGTCATACTGAAAAAAAAAAGTTTTGGAATTGATTGATCCTTTTAGTCAACAAGAGAGCTAGGATCCCACTTCAGTTGCTTAGGTTGTATCTGACCCTCACTGGTGCAGGAGTTCGGAAATAACAGATGTATTGAAAAAGAGGCAGCATAATCAAATATTTGAGACTTGATCAATTCCCTTCTTAACAGATGACAGCACTCAAGATTACATGGCTTGATTTATAGCTATCCAACACTCAAACACACCCATACACACACACACACACACACACTGCATGGGACCATATTTCAGTAGTGACTGCATTGTTTCAAGCCTCCTCATCTCAGCCTGCTTTCTCTTGTGCTCCCACCCAAATGTGAGTAAGGAAACTTTGACTGTGTTAGTCTAGAAAGAATCACAGAGGCAATAAGCAAGACCCGCTGGCAGGATCCATTTCCCTCTCGTTCTTTAACACTCACATCAACTCAGCTTTTTTTTAGACCCATATATTCTAGGGAAAGCCTCTTAAAGACAACCCTGCAGTAGTTTGTTTTGTTATATCGAAGTGAAGACCCCTTCTCTATTTAGTTTCCAGGGAAAGTGCTTATCCCCAGTCCTAGGGATCTGGTAGATTGCAGTGCCTCTCCTCTAGTTTAATCTCAGGGATGCTGTGTAAGCCAGTGCCTCTTAGATTAATCTAGCCATTGCCACACTTTAGGAGGCTGACCTACTACTGAACTACTTACAGATTGCCTACTGCTGCACAGTGCAAGATGGAATTTTTTAGTTCATGTGTTGGAGAACAAGCTGAGAGCATGAACTGAACCTTTTACTCTCCTTCAGTTTACACAGATCACAGATTCTTTGAGGCTGCAGTTCTGCAGATCCTTATCATACATGCACAGCCACAGTAGAGTTTAGCACTGTCTTACATGTTCGCAAGATGCTGTTAATTAATTTCCTTCCTCCATGAGTCAAAAAATCTTATCAAAGTGACTTCGTGAGGAGACTGAGAAGATTAAGGCAGTGAGATGGGCATGTAAAACTCTTACACCGAGTTTTACACCAGAATGGAAACTATAGCCCAAGTTCCACCTTTCCTAAACAAGGTTCTAATCAATGGGCTGAAGCGGGGAGTACGTAACTTTTCACTGCTTTCTGACACCCTTAGTGTTGTCTACTGATCATTTTAGTCTCCCTGCTTTCCTCTCTGTTCTGCACTGGCTTAGTAGACTCTTGGTTCCCACTTCAGTGTGCAGGGGATGTCACTACCTCGCGGTGGATCTCCCTCAGTGGCAAGGCATCTAAGAGGCAGGGCCTCAAATATTCAGCCAGACAATGCTCTGGCTATTTGGTGACCCAGTGTCTTCACACAGCCTTGTACCAAGCGATATTGTGACCCATACACTGCCCTCTGAGTCAGCAAAATGGTCCCAAACACCCTATGCACCTATCTTCCCAAACTGGGCTGAACAGATGGTTGGAATAGTAGCATTATAGGTCTGAACTCCAAATTCAGATCTAAATCACCTCAAATTTGTTTGCAGCCTAAATATTTGCTAAAAGTTATTTTTCTGCATTCAGATTTAGAAAGTAGGAGGCACAAATCAGAACAGGAAGAAGATATTAAACCCACCTAATACTGCTTACAGTTTTCTACAGCTGCTACCATCTGCACCTCAGAGAAGAGCTAGCAAAATGCAGCAATTGACCTGTGTTCTCTGAATTTAAAGGCCAAGAACTGATTACTGAAAACTACCTCCACATTTCCAGACCAAAATTCCATTCCTGTAATTCCTGGAGGTGTGAATAAAGGAGTGAATAGGGAGTGAATAAAGGTATGTGCTGCCTGACATGATCTCCCTCCTTGTTAGGCTTATTAGTTTGATTAAGCACTACGTTGAGCTAGCTACGCTAATTCTAGCTTCAAAAGAAATTAATCTCTGCTAGCCACATGGTCTCCATGGCCACTGTGGCTAGTAGGCTTTGATACCAGCAGGCTTCTGATGCAGAAGTGAAAGTCACATTAATGCATCAGCTGTCGGCACACTTGAAGCACATCACTAATGCCTTACCTATGCTCTAGGGTATCTCTGGGTCAAAACCGACAGCATTAAGGAACCTACACATACTTGTTTTCTGGACTGTCTTCTTTTTCACTAGAGTCTGTCCCACAAGGATGCGCCCGATTCTGCTGAATGTGATTTGTTTTAACCCAAGTGAAGCAACTATATGGGTATGTTCTGACCTGTCAAATTTTTCAAAGACAAAAAGAATTCTTCCATCGGCCAGAAGATGAGAGAAAGGGAATATAGTTTGGAGGAAGATGGCTCATGGGCTTGTTCTCTGGCATCCCAAATCTGCAGGCCTTTTACTGATGGGTCTTCTTCAAGCAAGAAAAGTCTCTTTGCTTGAAGACCTGGTTGAATCAAGGTAGTACCCATTATATTTTAGGTAGCCTACTCACAGGAGACTGTAATCACACATCTGACATTCTTCTTCACTTTCTTTAGAGAAATCAGCTTGCGGCTCAATTAATAAGACTAACCTGCATGGCCCATCTCCCTGAAAAAGGCCAGATGAGAACAGCTGATCCCCTTCCATCTCTGACAGTGGCTGAAGTCAGCCAATCAGAAGCTTCTCTTCCTTTAATAGGAAGAAGACATACTTATAATCAAGCATCAGGGCAGTGGATATTAGCTGGATTAAATGGTTTAGTGGGCTAAGGCAGCAGGTGCTACTGAATTAGGGCATCCTTACTCTATAGTACTTAATATATTAACATCCCTCTGGGTACCGTACTGGGAGGCTTGGTACAAAGACTTCCTTTCTCTGATGCCAGATGCAAGTCTGCACAATTCTTCCTGTGATGGGTCAAGTGATTAGGTTTTAACAAAAGGAACCTAGGCACTTAACACTAGGCTCACACCCCTCTCCCTCTCCCTACTCAGGTAAGGGATTTTTCTCATTCCTCCCTAAAGTTAACAGCAGGTACTTAGAGCAAATAGACATTATTGTCTCTCTGGTCTTTGTTACTTCCTAGCTTAGTACCGGCTACTTTGTACGCAATAAAAAAAGCTGAATTAATAGGATGCTACTTCCCTTCCTTATTCTGTATGAAAACACTGGGTCATGAAGCCACATGGACAGGCTGTGATCTGCAGTGCTTCGGAGCATTATTGCCATTTGCCACGGTATTTGATAAGGGGAAAAAACACAGGCAGTAAATGAACAGACATAGAAAAATCATAGAGAAGGTGATGTGGGGAATATGGGTAGACCATAGGGACATAAAGGCTGGAAGGATTTCAAGTCCAGCAGAATAGCTTGCAGCTGTGCCTATGCTCTAAATTAGCTGACCCATGGATCTGACTGTTGCACAGGCAAGCCTAGAGACACAGGTATGATGCGCTGCTCCTTTGAAAATAAAGCCCCATGTCTACTGAGCAGCACTTGCTTGCCTAGGAATAACTGTTTTGAACCTTTCATCTAGGGATTGCAAAAAACTCCTGTGAGCTCTATGTTTGGTGTTCAAAAAGAGGCTTTCCCGTAATTGCCTAGCCAAGTAAAACCTCATCCTTTTCCTTCTCTCTCTATCTTAACTCTCCATTAGCCCTTAGCTTTAGTACAGGACCTCAGAGAATGATACATTTTCCTCCTATCCCCTGGCCCCCAGTATTTCTAAGCCTCAATTTGTCATTCCCAAGAGGGAATGGACAAGAGCTTTGAGCTCTTAAATCCTGCTGTTGGTTCTTGCCTGAAAGAGGTAAGTAGGGAAACTGATGGAAAAGTGAAGAAAGGAGCCTGTCCCTCGTCAGCATTCACCTGTAATGGATGCAAAATGTGGGGTTAAACACCAGAACTAGACCCAGGAACAGAAATGAATGGGGTACTTACACAGTTTCATCATTCTTGAACTCCAACTCCCCGTAAGTGTCTTCAAAGTCTTCTCCACCTCCTTTCGCTGTCCCTTCTACTGTCCTAAATGGCACTATGACTGTACCGCGAGCACCTGATGTCCTTAGGACTTTGACTTCCATCACACCGATGCTCTCACTGACATGTATAATGTCACACTCAAATGTGAAGATGCCAGCATGGTCATCATCCAGGATAGTCACTGTGGCCACACAAGGAGACGCCAGTATGGCCTTTGGGTATGGGGAGTTATTGAGCTCTGGAGGTTCCTCACTCTCCACCACACGGAGATTACTGAGCCGCACAAAGAAATGCTCATCTTCCTCAAATATGTCATCATCAATAATGCCCACTGAGAACTCCTTCTGGGTCTCCCCTGATTTCAAGACAACAGTCCCCTCTGTGAACTCATAGTCAGCACCAGCATTGGCAGAGCCATCCTCTGTTTTATAGTCCACGTAGATGGTCTTGGATATGTCCCCTCCTTTCCGCACCACTGTCAGGAGAACGGCACCACAGTTCTCAAGACACTGGTAGGAGCATGGGTCAAAATAAATTTTGGAGATGAATTCCTCAGGTTCCTCTGGCCGCACCTCATGTAAACTGGTGCTTTTCTTGGCTTGCTCAGCTGCATGCTTTTTCAAAATATTGCCAGCTCCCGTCATCATTCTGGTTGCTTGAATGCGATAAAAGGCTCTGCTCTTTTGCTGATGAGACAACGCATAGTAGTTAGCCATCTCCACCAGCTGGTCCAAGTCCTTTTCTGGGTGCTTTTGCTTCAGGTCCTTAAGGATCCGGATCATCTCTTTGCGAGATTCATCCACCTCCTTCCCCTCCACAGTCACTAAGTTCCCATCTAAAAAGTGGGAGTTCATCATCTTGCCATCCATTTCAATTCCCTTAGGGTGATCACCTTCTGATTCTATGATAATGCCCCTGTGCTTGTCAGTACGGTACTTTTTGTGCATATACTTATAGAAAAGCAGACGTCTATCTGCTATCCAGGCCAGAACGACACAAAGTGGAAAGAAGAAAAGCGTGAGCAGGCCTTCCCAAACCTGAACCACACCTGGAGAGAAGACAGCAAGGATCATGTACAACCAGATGTAAGCAAAGATGCTCCATGCAGCTGTGACAAAGAAAACCCTCAGGTGTTTTATCTTTCTGGTTTCCCCGTCAGGGATCACATAGACACAGATGGCAATGATGATAAACATATTGAAAGCTGCGCTGCCAACAATTGTTGAGGGCCCCAGGTCTCCAGCTATGAATCCATGCCCACACACTTCTATCAGAGACAAGAGGATCTCAGGAGCAGAGGAGCCCAGAGCCATGAGGGTTAAGTTGGAAACAGTTTCATTCCAAATCCGAATGGTGGTCGTTGTGGTCTCTCCATTTGGTTTCTTAATAGTTATTTCTTTCTCCTGAGATGTAATGACCTCTATAGATGCCATGAAACGATCTGCAATGATGGAGACTCCAAGGAACATGTAGATCAGTGCTACAAAGTATACGATAACACGGGCAATTTTGTCCCCAAGGGATGGGTTTTCTGGGTACCATATTGGCAGGATAACACCCTCCTTGCAGTCAAAAGATCCTGAACACGAGCTGTTTTGTACTGAACTGGTTGAGTCTCCCGTCAGGCCAGCATCCACCTGCAAACCATGCAAAAACAGCACAAAAGTAACCAGCCCAAAATGGAGGAAGGCCGAGGTGACAGGCTGCAAGCTTAACCACGCCATACACAAGATGCAGCTTCCACTGCGTAGATCCAAAAAGGCCGAGAACCTGAAACAAACAAAACAGAGAGGAGGGAGGGAAGCATGAGAGAGAAGGAAGATGCAAAATTTACCCAAACACACTTCAGTATCTCACCACTGAAGAGTACTGGTAGAGATGCATGGGTTGTCTCTCTGTCACTTTGAAGAAGGTATTTAGCAGGGACTCTAACAAACTGCAGCATTTACATGCCCTGCAGATGAAGATCAATTGCTAGAAAAGTAATTCAGAGGAAAGGTGTATATATATATAAAATAGCCCATTCTTGACCTACAACATGTGCAACAGGAGAACTGAGTGCTCAGCTGCCACTCACCTAGTGATGCCATGGTGTTCCACAGCACATAGCACTTCAACTCAGTACAAGAACCCAAATTTAAGGGCTCCCCTGCCTCACGACACAGGGAATAAAACAAGTCAAGCAATCACTAGCAACACAAAAAGCAACTTTTAAGGCCAATGAGCAATCTCCAAATGAAGTCCATTTTAGGATATAATTCAGTTTTAAATTATGGAGTACCTTAGTGGCCAAATCATCCCTACAGCCAGCCCCTCCTAATAGCTGCAGAGTCTCCAGAAGGGCCCTAGGGCTCCCACAAGCTCCTGAGACACAGGGCCTCCATTTTCAGAGGTAAAGATATCATCCCAGAAATAGGGGAGAGGACTCGTGCTTGGCAAAGGCCGTTTTTCACTAGCCTTTCTTCTGTGATCTGGATGGTCACATTTTACATCAATAATCCTGTTTTTAAATAGTCACAGAAACCTACAAAAGCAGTACAATTAGAAAAAGTTGTGCTCATAAACTCAGACAGAGCAAAATGCAGGTACCCACCAACATTCCCTCTGTATCCCTAAGAAATTGATATATATTAAAATATCTTCTACAATGAAAGTAATCTCTAGCCTAAAATACCATACAAAAACAATAGATCTGATCAATGTATCACATAGATTTGGCATATCACTGCCCAACAATACCTTCTATTACTTACAGACTACATTGCTGCAGGGCTTGCACTGCTTAAAATTGGATTCTGAACCCTTCATATTGTCACAGATCACACTATCCTCCTTCCTTCCT